TATAATAAAACATATAATTAATGTTTGTATTACAAATTGTTATTAGAAATGTTTCATTGTCATTGAATAAATTACTGTAATTGATTCAAGTTATTCTGTTAATATGCACGTATCATTGATATATAAGGTGTAGTAAAAAGAAATCCATTATTTTTGCATGAAATTGAAGGCTTTATTTAGTATAGTTAGAATGATCTGATTTAGGTCAAATATGCATCGTTTTGTTCGATAACTTGTTGCCATTTTGAAGGTAATTCCATTATGCCTCTCTCATAAAAACCCTCGTCCCTATTGGCAAAAAACTGGGACAGTCGATTTTCACAAGCTTCTCTTGAGGCGAATTTTTCACCAGCAAAATCATTCGCCATAGACAGGAACAGATGGTAATCACTTGGAGCCAGGTCCGGACTATAAGGTGGATGCATAAGAACCTCCCAACCAAGCTCCCGGAGCTTCTGGCGAGTCACTATCGATGTGTATGGCCTTACATTGTCCTGATGGAACACAATTCCTCTCCTATTGGCCAACGCTGGCCGCTTCTGGACGATTGCTTCCTTCAGACGGTCCAATTGTTGACAGTACAGGTCCGAATTAAGAGTTTGGCCGTAGGGGAGCAGCTCATAGTAGATGATTCCCTGCCAATCTCACCAAACACACAGCAAAACCTTCCTGACTGTCAATCCTGGCTTGGCCACCGTTTGCGCCGGTTCATCGCGATTCGACCACGACCGTTTTCGCTTGACGTTGTCGTAAGTGACCCACTTTTCATCACCAGTCACCATCCGCTTCAGAAATGGGTTGATTTTGTTGCGATTCAGCAGCTATTCGCAGATGAAAATTCGGTCTATGAGGTTTTTTTGCGTTAACTCGTGTGGCACTCATACATCGAGCTTCTTTTTGTATCCAGCCTTATTCAAGTGGGTCCAAACGGTTTTTTGTGCAATGTTTAGCTCCTGGGCAATCGAAACAGTGCTTACATGACGGTCGAACTCGACGATTTCCATTATTTTATTGACATTTTCGACAATTGACCTTCCAGAGTGTAGTGCATCTTTGACATCAAAATTACCGGAACGGAATCGACGAAATCAAAATTGCACGTGATTGGCTGTTACAGTATCAGGACCATAAACACTATTCACATTTTCAGCCGCCTGGCTTGCGTTTTCGCCTTTATCGAAGAAAAACTGTAAAATATGGCGTATTTTCTCTTTGCTGGTGTTCATTTTTGACGCGCGCTCAAACAATACTGAGTCAAGCAATCACAAAACTGAGTTTTTTTTAGTACGAAATCTTATTTTTCTAATGTCATCTAGCGTAACCCGATCGCACTTATACAACGCGAGATACAGATTACTAAAGCCATCTATTGGAAAAATAATGGATTTCTTTTTACTACACCTTATATATTATTGATTTATATTCATATCTATCCGTAATAACCTTGAAAAGGTACAATATAAAATTATATTGCAAAATGCATTAAGCGCAATAAACGTTCTTTTTATTATTAATTTCATAAATGATACATCTATAGTTAATGAGTATTATTAAAGTAATTAATTATGATACTTTTTATGTATTTTATTGTGCTTTGAATGGGTTCTATCCTTATTTCTATATTTAATCTTTCTTTTTCTATTATGACGATCCTTATCTTTATCATGTTTAGCACGGTCATTCATCTTCTTATACATGTAGTTGTGCTTGTCACAACTTCGTTTCCTTTTATGTTTGTAAATCTTGTAAATGCTTTCTTCTTTAAAGTCGGCTTTTTTCCTTCTTTTTTTGTCCTTCTTGGAATGAAAATTTTCCGAATCAATGTTACTGCTACTACTACTATCGCTCTCACTGCTACTACCACTACTACTACTACTACTACTACTACTGCTGCTGCTGCTGCTGCTGCTGCTATTACTGCTATTACTACTATGCTTCTTATTACTGTTTTTTATTTTTTTCAATCTTCTTTTTTCTTTTTTACGTTTTTTCCTTTCTAAAAGCTGTAATTTCCTGTAATTATAAGAGTAAATTCTCCTGTTTAATCATCAGTTTTAAAATATACTTTATCAATAGTAAGAGGATACTACATTATGTAGTTGAATTAACTTACAATAATAATCTTTTCTTTTCTTTCTTTGACAGAGATTTTAGAAATAATAATTCTGACTGTTCCTCATCTTCAGAGACCATAAGATGTTCATGTTCTGGAACTCGTAAATGTTGTTGTGCATCTAATGCAGATCTATAATATAAAAAGCCAATAGCATAAAGCATTCATATACACCAATATTAATTCATTTTTAACATAATTTATTTAACAAAACTTATTTGAATGTTATATAACACAACACATGAAAATAACACATGTATTTACTTTTTCAAAGCTAGACCATCCTCTCGCATTTGTTGAACGAGAGTCATAGTGTCTGGGGCAGATGGCGTCTGCGAATTATTTGCCATTACAACGCTCATTGCTTGACTGTACAATGGGCATTCCTTATCTAAAAATATTTTTCATTTTATTCTTAGCTATTGGTAATATCTAATATTCTAATGTAAAAATTGTAACATATCTTAGTACATTTCTTATTAATGTTGATTAATGAAAAATCATGATGGTTTGCTTGATTTTAGGATAATTAAGATTATTTCATTCTTTATTGAACGGGAGATATCGAAAGATACCAACTAAGAGCTTTGATAAATTCAATATTGTGAGGCATTGCGGATAGATTAATTTATTTTTTGTATGTGATTTGTATGTGATCAAGATTTTTTTAGAGTCGAAACTCGTTTCACTCAAAATTTTAATAGTAATAAAATTTAATATGCCTAACACATTAAATTTTATTACTATCAATATCCTATATTATGAGCTCATCTTTGGCTATTTTTATTATTAAAATTATGTTGTAAAAATATTTTATTATTAATATTCGTTTAAACATATTTGTATCTTACTGGATAAAATTTTAAGATACCTGTATTTATGTGTCCCCATTTATGACATTTGATACACCGTACATTCCTCACTTGTATACCAAAAGGTTGATCTCGAATTTCGCTATCCCCTTTGCAGTAACTCTCTCTTGGAGCATTGTATTTCCGCTGCCATTCAAACTTGTATTCAGGTTCGTTGTCTTCCTTCTCCCGTTCTTTCTTTGCTCCAGGAGGTGGTTCATACATAAAATTGACACTAAGTTTATCCTTACTTTCTTTGCTGAGTAGCGCTCTGAAAAAACCTTTGCATTAGGAACAAAACTGCTCGTTACACGATATCTTTGAGTTAATTACTTGTTATTATGAAGATCTTGCTCCTTCTCATACTGCACTCGCAGCTCCTCCTGCTTTTTCTTGTAAGCCTCTGCTTGTTGTTCCGCCATCCATACCTGATACAACAATATGCATTTTTAACACAAGGGTATGATTTTCCTTTCAAATATATGACGAGAGAATTAAAAATATTCTGTTATCGTAAAGAGAGGTTAAACCACATATTCGTACTCGCTTCAAATTGTCTCGTGACGCCGGATGAAAAAACTTTTTACACATGTAATTATTAAATCCCTTTCCCATCTTTAAAAATTTTTCCTCACAATTTCAGATAGCAATTTTATTACAAAAATAACCGCAATTCTCAACATTCAATTTACAACATGAAATTTGCAATCATGCACTAGTCTGACCTGACAGGTCTGACTAGTTACCATCGATCATCACTGTTCATCACTATCATCGACTTTACGAATTTTTTTTCTTAAGTTGCAAGCGCTGATCATGCTTCATTTTAAAAGGCAATTGCAATATAACGTAGCCAATCGGATTCGTTAGGTTACTTCGTTTTTTGGCGCAAACATGAATGTATGAAATACCTGAACGGAACGTGAAATATCCTTTTTAATTTAACGTGGTAAAGCCTGAAAGGTGAGGGGAAACTCCAAAAAAGTAAGAAGGTCAGGACACTTATTATGGAAATGTTTGGAACGGATTCCAGTCGAAATTAATGGGTACATTCAGTACTATAACCGCTCACTGAGCGCTCAGTGAGCTCTCGTATCTGTTTGGTCTATACTTTTAGATCTAACGGAATATGCCAATCAGATGCAAGAGCTCACTGAGCGCTTAAGCGTTGTGTTCACGATGCTAGAAATCGGTCCGAGATCTCGGATGAAGAAAGAATTGACCAATCGCAATGGTCATGTGATCAAATTGTTCAAATGTGATTTGTTAATTTTTTCTCTGTCTGAGATCTCGGACCGATTTCTAGTATCGTGGACATTAGGCTTTAGTGAGTAGTTGTAGTACTGAATGCACCCAATAATCTCTTTTACACTGAACACTGGCTTATGCTGGGTATCAATCATGAAATTTTATCCCTAGGATGAAAAGTAAAAAGTGAAAAATTTCTCCATTAACTTCAATGGTTAAAATTTTCACTTTTCACTTTCCATCCTAGGAATAAAGTTTCATGATTGATACCCTGGATTCACACTGCGTCCGATGTGCGTCGTACGACACTCTGCAACCAATTGCTGGATTCACACTGCATCCGATTTGCGTCGTAAGACGCTCTGCAACCAATCAGAAAACAGGATTCCGATGGATTTTGCTTCGTATCATCGGCATCCTGTTTTCTGATTTGCTGGATTCATACTGCATCCGATTTGCGTCGTAAGACGCTCTGCAACCAATCAGAAAACAGGATTCCGATGGATTTTGCTTCGTATCATCGGCATCCTGTTTTCTGATTGGTTGCAGAGCGTCTTACGACGCAAATCGGATGCAGTGTGAATCCAGCACAGGATTCTAGCACCCACAACTCGTCACAAATAATTTATTAACAATTCTACTTTCTAGTAACATCGAACAAAAAACTGTCGTCTAGGGAATAATTGAGTTAAAGAAACATCGGTTCAAAAATCGGTTTTTTTTCCAAAAAAAAAAAAAAGTAATTGATATCAAAATAATCGAATGTGAATCACCCACTCGGACCCATCTCTACTTTACGGAGGCGCGAGCCTTATAATTAAAGAAGAAGAAGAGGATGTCTCGTATATATCATGATTCTAAATTGTTCTAAACGCAATTTGATATAAGTCATTTGATGATCGCACGCTGCAGCTGTTTAGCGAAAAATTCTTGATTGACTGATAGTACGTTGTTAAAAACTATGAAAATCAATGAGAAGAATATGGTAGCATTTGCAACCTCTGCAACGCCAGTAGACCGTGAAGGTTGGTTGAATAAACGTGGAGAGATAAATCGTGGATATCACAAGCGATGGTGTGTTCTCAAAGGAAATATATTATTCTATTTTGATCGCCGCGGTGACAGAGAGCCGGTAGGCATGATCGTGCTCGAAGGTTGTACGATTGAATTGGCAGAGGATGAAGAACAGTTTGGCTTTAAGATAGTTTTTCATGGACCAAATAATAGAAGTTATGTTTTAGCTGCAGAGTCCCAGGTAAACAGACGTTCTAATACTATATTTACACTTGTGCTTGAAAGTAAATGTGTTTAATGACAGACAGTGGTATCTAGGAATCTATGGAACAATGGATGAAGGCTTTAGCATGTGCTAGTTATGATTATATGAAACTTATGGTGACAGAATTGCAACGTCAGTTGGATTCAGTAGAGGAAGAAACAGCTTCCACACCGATTCAACAATCTCCTAAAGCTCCACCGAGACAACGACATAATCCGTTCAATAGACCAGATTCTCATCATCGGTCTCAGAGTGTTAGATCGGCACCTGGTAGGACCGAGAACGTACCTAGGACTAGAATAACTTTTCGTGAGCTTCATACAGCATATGGCAGGCGAATCTTGGCAGATCTGAATGCGTGGAGACATGCGAAGAAAAATGCAGAGGCTCCGCTAATAACTCTCTAACTTTGTATATATTTTATAGATGATTAAACAAAGTATACTTCAACATTGTACATAATCTAAGAGAATTACTGGTTCAAAAAGTCAGCTATACATTAACATGGAGAACGTAACTTGTGTTATATTGAGTATGTGTGTATGTATGTATGAACATGTCTGTATGTAAAGATGTAAAACTAATTAATTTAGACAAAAATAGATTTGTTTCATAAAATATAGTTCTTATTCATGTAACATATTCTCTCTATTCTGTAGAAAATTTTCTAAATAATTTTTAATTCTTGATAATATTTGATTGCTATATTAAGATTATTATGACAAAAAAAAATGTTGGCATAATAGAAAAAAGTTGCAAATAAAATGATAAAAGGAACAATTGCAAGCTGTTGTAAATTTTTTAAAGAAATTTTCCATATGAGTATCACATCTTCGATTCTTTGCATCTCAAGAGCATATCAGGTGAGATACTCAGAATGGAATCTTATGTCTTGAAACACGAACGATTCAATAGTCATGTCTTGATTAGAAATTAATTAAAACTGTATTCACTCGAGACGCAGAATGATTACTCATATGAAACTTTTCTTGAGATACCAGATATCAATTAAAGCTATATTTTTCACCTGCTTGAAAGTAACTGAAATCAAGTTACTCACATATGTACGTAATATAAAAATGGAACAAGCTAATATATTTATGCAAAGAAAGAAGAATTTCACTTCATTTGAAAGAAAGTTTTATTGGAATGCATATCAGAGCATAAAAATATAATAGAAAATAAGAAAATAGATGGTACATCTGTTAAAAGCAAGCAAGAAGTGTGGAAGAAAATCACGACTACTTTTAATGCTAGTACTCTTATTGATGAAAAAGTAATAAAAATTTACATTAAAAAAAATTATTTATTTATAATTTTATTATAAATACAGGATAGATGTATGGAAAAGATAAAATGCAGATGTTTCATTTCAATATTTATGACAGTGTATATATACATACATATATGTGTATATGTATATACATACATACACACATACGTATATATATATATATATATTGTTATATAATTTATATCATATACATACCATAAATTGAGATGTATTATGTACAATTTAATTAGATGATAAATATGAGCTTGCAAATGTAATGTTTACCAATACTACGACAAATAAATTATTATGGTTACATAAGACATCAGGTGCATAAATTACTTAAATTTAAATACGCTTTTTTTTCTCGCGTCTCCAGGAAGATGTCTGGTACCTAACAAAAGACGAGCCTTATCTTCCTCCTGTGGTACAGATTCCTCGGGTGGTCCTCTCGGTTTTATTTGCAATTTTTGTTTAATAGCTTGGCTTAGTATTACACGCCTGGAATCGCTCTTCATGGCCAAAAGCAGATCTAGCCATGTCCATGTCACATTATGGTATTCCAAAGTCGGTATGACCAGCGCAAAGTCACGTACATCTTCAAGATTCTTTTCTTTGTTTCCCTGTATGCAAAAATAGTATTGAATTTTTTAAAATAATTGGCGAACAAAAGTAACAAATATTTAATTTTTTTTTTATTTCAAAATGTTACCTTGTACGATACGCGAACAGGTACTTCCGGTATTTTAATATATATAAACAATTTGTTCTTGTCTGCTCTTTCCTTCATTTTCTCTACATCGTCTCTCCTCTCGATAGGTACGTAGAAGGATGAATCACGTTGTGGTGCCGGTGCTTCCTCTATGCCTTCCGGATCTCTCTCAGGGAAACAAAATTTAAGCATAGTATTGAAGAACTTTTTTGTTAAACCTGTGTGAAGAAAAAAGAAATATGATCTACACATATAATGTGACACATAGGAGGCTCTGCTGTATTTGACACAAGTTATACATTTACTTACCTATCGTAAGAGGCACTACATTGATTTCAAAGTGTTCCTTTACAGAAATCCCTGCTACCGGCGCCTTTTCTCTGCAAAATACTCGAAGAGCTCTTTGTCGGTCTACAGGCATGTTGCTCTGCAGCTCCGTGGGTACAAGTACTTCCGTATAAATTTGATTCGGTAATAAATTCGTCATCCGAACGTATCCTAGCTCCAGTAGATGTTCCACCGAATCATCGGTCTTGCTAGTTTTCGTGTAAAGAAAATTTGTTAGAATAAGATCGGCGATACCCAACTGACCGTCCGCGTCCGTCAGCCTCCATTGTGCGTGTTTAAAACAAATCTCGGCTACCCTGGCCACCGCAGCCGGCTTGTCTTTAAGCGTAGTTGACGCCGTTGCTGGCGCGGTGGTTTCCTTGTAACAACTCAACATGACGTCCAATTCCTCCGCCTTGGCACCAAGTTGTTCCTTACATTCAAATACGCTCGCTTCTAAACGTTCCATCTTTGTCAGTAATTCCGGACTGGACTCGTCGGCTAGCGCTTTCTGCACTAAGTACGTCTCGCGTTCCAACCGTCTCAATTTTGCCACCAAGCCGCGCACCGTGTTTTGTAATTGCTGTATCGGTCTCTTTTGATCCTCGACAGAATGCAGCTGCAACTGGAATCTCATTCTTTGTAACCTCTCCGAGGCCTCTTTCCGCCTGGGTTCCACATAGAGTAGCAAATTGTTAACTATGTCCAGGATCATCGCATATTGCAATGAATTGGTGCACACATCCAGATCATGATGCATCAAAGTAAACGCGTCGGCCGCGGTTAGATCCTTCCTTTCCCATGGGCTGACTTCTTCTCTAGGCGGAGCTGGCACTTGGTCCACAGAACCTACATCTAAGGTCTGTCCGTAACCAACATAGAAGAATTCGCACTTGCATCGGGACACTATGCGTTGTAATTGATGCTGTGGTCCGCCGCCACCTCCTACTGTTTGACTGACTACACCACCAACACTCTGACCAGATCCCACCAGAGCCGGGACGTCCGGTAGACCGGCTATGATAGTAGAATCTTTCTCCTAAAATACAGTGAAATATAGTGTAACATACAGTTTGCTCTGCGCACAATACCATTTACGTTCTGATACTAACGTACTTGAATGTTATCCAATGTCAACCACATGATATTGTCATCAATATTGTCGTCGATGTTTGCGCTTACAGTAGCATAGTATTGCATACATTCTAACGAGCCGACCCAAGTCGTTTTCGGAACGAGAGATCGCTCCTTCCAAACTGGATGGTGTACTCTCTGTAGTATTTCCGCTTTGGCTGCTGAGAGAATCACGTATCCCCGGGTTTCGATGCCCTTCAACAGCACTTGACTGTTTACTAGAGCAACTGAAAAGAATTTTGTCTTAGTTGTTAAATCTTTTGTTTTTTACCCTATTGTCCTTGTCTCAAATGAATCTTCGTTTTACACAAATATCATTTATTAACATTTAGCGGATAGAGTTTTTGTGCGGAGGATGAGACCAAACTACGTACTCAGCCAGTTCTTATGCAAGACGTCGTCCTGGTGACACGCCGCTAGTCCGCGCAGTTGCTGTCCTCTAGTTTGCACCGACAGATCGTCGCTGAAAGCCACTGGTTTGTTCGTGGCCTCTGCTATCAATCTCTGCAACATTCCCGCCGCTTCGCCTTGCTGTGGCTTCACGGAGGACGACGGTGTCACGACCTGTGTGGAACTACCTTGTTGATCGACAACAATCGGTCTGCCAGCACGATTTTTGTGTGGATTGAGCGTTGAGCTGTTATCCCTGTGGAAACCCTTTAGTGTTGCAGTTGACAGATTCTTTTTCAGTTGCTGCGTCTTGATGAAGGAGTCAAAGAGAGCGAAGGCAACATCTCGATTGGTCTTGGTCCAGGCGCCGCGCAGGTCGTGCACGACCAATCTGTGAATTGGTGTGTCGCCACTTACCCCAGCAACCATTGCCTCTCTGCCGTAGCTGACGCGGGCCACGCTCAAGCAGTAACACTTCTCGACCGGTTGACGCAGCGATGCGCTCTCCACTTCGTCTTCCTGTAATGCGCTTTTCAACCAAATCTCGGCGTCGCTTAGTTCGCAATTCATATATATGACGGACCATTCTGCCCGTGGTCGATGAACCAGGCCATCATCAATCGGATGCAATGCAAGGTTGTGCTCCGAGCTGCAGGCAACTCGACCACCGGTCACCTCGAAACCTCTCTGCATGGCGAACGACATCCAGTAATTGACGTGAAAACGATGAAAGGCCAAGGTTAGCCGGACCTTCCTGTAGTGTCTGCTAAGTTGTTTCTTCCTAGGCCGAATGTTCTTGAACAACGGACCTTTTCTCGTGGGTCTCGTCGCGCCCGACAAAATTAATTTCAGATTCTCGAACCATCTCAACGTGCTGCCATAGAGCAGTGCTGTTGGCGCACTAGTCAACGTAGGTGAGCCAGTTGGCTTGGTTTCTAATGAGAGACTGACGTTCAAGTTTTGAGAGCGAAACGCTCTAAACGAATCGTGTTCCTGATTGCTCGAATATTCAGGCAATCGATCCGGAGCGCAGGGTATAGCAGCGTGATGATCACGTGGATCACCTAGGCATACCCATGCTAATTTAACGCTCAATCTGACGTTAGGTAAATGTAGTAATCGGCAGTCGTCGTATTTACTAGCTGTACGCACATATACATCGAGATCACCCTTAATAATGATCTTTCCTTGCGTCCAGTCGAGCTCCAATCCGGTCCATGTGAGCTCCATCTCTTCCGTGGTGTTATATGGATCCAGAGAGCCATGCAACAGTACTGTTAACTGTTTTACACAGAGTGTCAGTCTACCATGAAGAGCTAGTCGCATTTTATCCCAGAACGGCAATGGCGGGCTTGGATCTCTCGACGGATGAAGGATCTTCTCGAAACTGAGATTACACTGTGCTATCACTGGCTCCCAGCATGGACCGAACGCATATCGGAATTTGTCGATGTCCCAATTGAGATCGTGATAATACTTGAGAGATGTCATTCCTCTTTCCACCACTATATCTTCCCATGGCGCGCCGATTTCAATTCTAACAGTTCTCTTCGCTCTCGGTGGTGCTAAAGCTTCCGCCCCGGCTAATCTGCCCCATATATTCAAATTTTCCACCAGAAGCAGTGGTTGCGGAAAATCGCGAAGTTGAAGCTTCCACTCGGCGCATTTTAGACTGATACCGCGGACCCATACCGCGTTGAATTCCAGACCATCCTCGGGCCAAGGTGTTTCCGAGTCCATTTCTCGGAGTGCTCTCACTGCCTTTTCCGTACCATTTATCGACGGATCTGCTAAG